TCAGGGACTCCACTAATAGTGTTGTGTGGATTTTTTCCAGAATGCAAAGATCTTGATGGAACCTCACACTCAATGAACTCAAACTGGATAACTAGCAACTGTGAGTCATGTTCTTGCAATGGAGATGGAGCTCTCTGCTGCAGCATGTGAGTTTCAATCCAATAGTAGCTAATGGGGTAACTGGCTGTCTCTAAAGAGCAGCTCTTCTGTCATTCAAAATCCCATTCTTTGGTGTTTCTAATAGACTGTAATTGTAGAGCAGGCTTAGGCTCCCAGTGAAATGGATAGAGACAGAGCTCTCCCACCTGTGCCCTTTGCCTATATGCACAGCATCCTGACTGTCAGTACTCCAGAAAAAGTTCCAAAAGCTTCACTTCAGAGCCTGGACCCACACATGATCATCACTCAGACTCCACAGTGTCTGCATGAGGGGTCACCCTGGGTGTGGTGGTGGGCTGTAGTTCTCAGCCTTGACATTGTGCAGATCAAGTGCATTTAGTACATTCACACTGTTGTGCAACATTCCCCCCCACACTCATCCCCTGAGTCCTTTTATCTTGCACAACAAAATGTCAGCACCCATGTAGTCATCCCTCCTCTTCCCCTGTACCCCACCCTTGGCCACCACCATCTTCCTTTCTGCATCTACAAGTGTCACTGCTCTATGGCTCTATATACCTGCGTCCATGAAGTATTTGACCTGTTGAGCCTCCTTTTTGAACCCAGCACAATGTCCTCATGGTTTATCCATGCTAGAGAGTGTATTAGAATGTGCTTCCTTTTCAAGGTCCTTTAGATTACACTGTATGGACAGAACATGTAGTGCTTCTCCTTCATCTGTGGATGGGCCCTTATAATAAAATACCCATTTTATTTCTCTTTATCTATTCATTATATTTATTCAGAAATACCCATAAGCACCCATAGTTTTCTGAGGGCAGGAAACTGTATCCAACAGTCAAATATGTTTTCTGAGGACAGGAAACTGTATCCAACAGTCAAATGTGTTTCTAGAATTTGACCTGATGGTCACCACTACTTTGATCTTAGAGGATTTTCAAAATTGGAGCTTTGTGAACAACAATATAGAGAAAGTGTGGTCACTGATGACCTGTAGCATTCCATACCCTGTAACCTTGTGTTCCTTCACTGCTCACACTAAACTCAAAGCAGTCAAGGGGTTTGCAGATTTTTTGCTGTGTTTTTATGATGCCATTTGTATCATCTTTGAGGGATAAAGAGCAGGTACCTACAACCATGTTTATTCTAGGCACCCTACATCCACCCCACCAGATGCATCTGATGTCTTCCTCTCAGTCAGGCCTGGCTTGTAATGTTTTCTAAGAACAAGAGTAGTATTTGTTTTCTTATGTTTTTGCAGAGTTGGATGGGAATCCAGGACTCAGGCATGCTAGGATAGTGCTCTCCCACCCAGCTTTACCTCAGCTAGACAGGAGTGCGCTTGCTGATGGAAGTGTTGGTGTGAAGTACCATTTCCAAACCTTGCCCCTCAATCTTATTGTAGCTAAGATTCTCATAGAGTCTTCTTATATCAGCCCTAGTAAGTACAGCAGTGGGCAGGTGACTTGAAGAGAATACCTGAGTACTATGATAGTTAAAGTGTCAGGATGGTTGGGCAGGCTCATGGTTGGTGCACAAAATAAGGGACTCCCATAACCAGACTGGGAGAGGGGTACAGAGCAGTGTTAGAGGCTCTACAGTGACTGACTGCTACCTGTTACAGCTCTGTCTTGATTTCATGGCCCTGCAACTGATCTTGTCTTCACAGTAAATGATACTGGACTCTGCAGTATGGTGTTGTCTTGACCATAGTGAGAGCTGGTAAACCATTCCATTTTTATTTTGACTATAGCACAGCACCGATTTCATTCAGCTTCTCTGGGACAATATTTGGTCCCACAACACCCTCTGCAGGACACTGTACACATGCTCAGTTGCTCTGTGACTGCTGGCCTGGGCTAAGGTTCCCTGAGTTGGGTGATGTCCTTCGCTTTTGCTCTGCCCAGGCCCAGCTCCCAGACTACAGTGAGGAAGTCACAGGGCCAAGCTCATCCAGCCTCCAGTTCTGGGCATCTGATCACCTGATATTTTTGGTGTCCTTACTCAGTCTCTCTCAGCTGCTTCCCCTACGGTGCTAGGTCTGGGTGGAATTAAAGTTGCTTCTAGTGATAGGCCCTGTATTCCAGGAACTTGGTCCTGCACATAGATGGCAGAATTATACATGTTCATTGTCTATAACACACATGTAAAAGGTTAGGTGTCTTTTAATGATAACTATTTTATTTTAAATTCTTTTCTGATGGAGTAAAGTATGCATGACATAAAAAATTAAAATCAATTATTTTCAAGTTTAAAATTCACTGACATTGAGTAACATTCACATTACTATTTAACCATCACCACTATTTCCAAAAATTCTATAGTACATTTTTGCTGTTTTTTTAAAGTAGTACTTTGGATGAAACCCAGGGTTTTCTCTATGATGGTCTTGAACTTTTTGATCCTTCTAGCTCACCATCCCATCCCAAATAGCTGGTATTGTAGGTATGTCCCACAACTCCTGGTTTTTCCAAGGAGTTTTCATTGACTTAAAACAAAAAATGTGTTATTTCAGCTATAATTTCCAGTCCTCCTTCCTGCTCCCCTGGGTATGCTCTGCTTCATTTTCTGTTTTGTTGATTTTCCCTCTTCTAGATAGTTCATGTCGGTGGAACCCCAGGGTATTTTCCTGCTGTGTGGACTTGTTTCTTTTAGCAGTTGCTCAAGGTTCAGCTCCATCACTGCGTGTTAGGGTTTTATTCCTTCATACCATACCAGAAGTCCGGGATATTGTCAATCCATGCTTGATTTCTTTGTTAGTGCACATGGAGGGACTTTGGGATGAATGCACATGGGGAGCTCGCCAAACTTCCAATCTTATGGATGAGCATATAGAAAAGAATTAAATAAGAGAGACATTGTGATGTGGTTGTGGAGTCCAGGAATGTCAGAGCTCTCTTGAAGCAAAGACAAAGACTTCTCTGGATTGGCAATATTTATTGGGTCCTTAACAATTCAGTGGGGTACAAGAAGTAGAGAGTACATCTGAGGCAAAAGCCAGTGAAATTGGGCAAGGCCTTCAGAAGTAGAACAAAGACATTCTGAGCAATAAATCCTGCTAACTGGGAGAACTGTCTTATCTCTTAGGTTATTGTCCTGGAATAGGAATTAGAACTAAACGTCCTCAGCTTTAGTCTTGTCTTGTCTTGTCTTTAGAGGCTGTCAATATGAGGCTTTCCAACACAGCCAGAGAGCACTGTGGTCAGCAACTTAACCTTTAAACAGCCTGGTCCTCAACAAATTCACTTTTATTTACAGTAAATAACACTGCTCGGAACATACAAGTGTGTTTGAGCTCTGGGGCTCTGAGTCTCTTGGGGCTCTCCACTGGTTATAGAATTGTTGTGCCATATGGAACTATAGATTGACCTTGAAACATTCTTGAGGTGTTTTTTTGTAGCTGTACTATTTTATCCTCTGACTTGAAAATAACTATGTCTGAATAATAAAAGATTTAAAACATTTTAGTATATGTGTGAAGAAAAACATATTCATTATAGAACTATTGGAAAGTATATCAAAAATAAAATTCCCCCATTTGTCGGCCCCTTGTCTAAAAGTAATAATCATGACTATTTTATCATAAAGTCTTTTTATTTTATATGTCTTTTGTGTAGTGGGAATCAAACTTTGTATCACCATTTTGTGGTCTGATTTGTCAAATTGAAATCCCATCATGGTCACTATTCCAGCCCATAAAACCTCTTCAGAATGTTTTGCAATGTAGCTTAACTAATTCTCAGTCTTATTTAAACCAGGACCTTAGAGCCCAAGGTATGATTCACAGACCGCATCCATTCATAGAAAGACACCTACAAGGATCTGTTGTGTTTTGTCCCTTGGTCATTGCCTAGTGCCCTGGTCACCACGAGCACACATCTGCCCTCCTCTTTAGTGCTCCACCAATAGCTGCAAGTGGCAATATCCAAGGGGCAGACAGTGAGTTTTGATGAGTCATATTTCTTGGAGTGGCGGGAAGAAGATCAAAACATTCTCTTTTGATAAATATGCATTTAGGGCTGGGGATTTAGCTCAGCGGCAAAGCGCCTGCTTGGTAAGCGGAAGGTCGTGAGTTTGGTTCCTGGTACCGGAGGGGAAAAAAAAAAAGATAAATAAGCATTTATCATTTGATAAATATTTATATTTTGATAAATAAAACATTCTCTCTTGATAAATTTGAAGTCCAACATCACCTGATGAAAGGAAATATTGTCCCAAGATACTTCTATCCATTTGGGGAAGTTTACATCCATGACCATGAATGAATGTCCAAGAGTTATGAGCACAAAGCTGTTCACAACACTGAGTGTGCAGTGGATTTTTCAAGAAGGAGTCCCCAATTTGATCATTTTTTTCCAGAAATTCATGAAAATCTGGGCTGGATTGGCTCCTTGCTTTTGTTAATGGAGTTAGCAATGCTGGTAACAAGAACCTATCCCAAGTGGGGAGAATCCTTTCAGCTGCAGCAGTACAAGCCACTTCCTGGGTAGGAAGGGGTAGACAGCCTGCAATGGAAAATGCTTTCTGGCTAAAGTGTGTGGCAGACATGCCTTGTGCCTATCAGAAAGTCTCCTGCCTTCTTGGCATGCAGGGAGGAGTATAATACCCGTGGGAGGACCCATATACTGATCTATGGTACAGATAGGTCCTGGTTTCTGAGGAACTACCCTGAGGCTTCCACAAAAGGTATGGCATAGATTAGTGAGGGTCAACCCAGCCAGCAGGAATGTGGCTGCTTTGCACACAAGGCTAGCTGGAAGGCAGTGTGCAATGGCTGGTGTCCTTGTCCTTCTAAATGGCCTTGATCTTCTCTCCCTGACAGAGTTGATATACCAGTGGATTTTGACAAAATTAAGTGCGATTCCTATTTCCACAAGGACAACTGCAGCTACACTGTGATGGAGCGTGAGAACCCAGGAAAACCCTGTGAAGTTCATGCCTGGATACTGTAACATCCTCCACTGGGTCTGGTGTGCCCCTGCCAGGCCCCCTCTTGTGGTCTCTAACAATCTGTAATTGTGTAGCCCTCCTTAGAATAAAATCATTCTTGAGCAAACCCTTGAACACATGTGCTCTTTGAATTTACTAACTGCATTTGCAGTGATTGAATGCTGATTACAAAGCACACAGGTATTTGAAGGAGGAGACAAAAATAAACACAATGAACATCAGGGCATGTTCCCTGCACTGCAATTGGTCATCATGTCCGCCTCCCCAGGCCATGGACACCTCAGCTTCCTATTTCCTGAGACCTGTGGGTAAAGTAAAAATAAGAATGTTCAAGATGAAACGAGACCCCTTCTTAGCTTGTAGTGTTCATGTCCACACCTCTTTCTCTCCTTCTGTAAGTGTCTTGTCTGCTCTGTGCCCAATCCCTCTTCATTTGCTTGGGGTCAGGGCAATATAGGACAGGACAGGACAAGCTGAGGCAATTCCCACAGGATGACCCATAGCCCCATCCCCACAGGGAATCAAAGCCAGGGCTATGGCTGTGGTGGTCCTAACTGGGGCCCAAGGCTCCTGGGATCTCTTCTGTGCACCAGCTCCCATCACAGAGTGACCTCAAACCATGACAAACTGCATCTGCTTCACAGTATTGGTAGTACAGAGTATGTGCTCACTGTACCATGTGGTGAGTGCCTGAATCAGGGAGGGAACTGGGATGGGATCCAGCAGTGAACAGAGAGAACAGGCCCCTGCTATCCCAATGCCTAGAGCAGCAGTGTGCAGCTTACAGATTTCAGAAGAAGAACCTCAGGGCATCTGATGCAGAGCTCTATCCTCTACCCTGACCTACTCTGTTCAAACTTTCTATTTGAACATTAGCAGCCTAGGATGGCTCCTTACCTTTTATGGTCAGTCCTGGTAATAAGGACATGCTCTGTTTAATTTTAGTCCTAGAAATTCTCATTTTAAAGTTCTCATCTTAGTTTAAGAAGAATTAGTACACACCATATCCCTGGCTCCCTCTGCCTGAAGAGATGATTGTGTCTCATTTCCCCTGGGTCTTTGGTGGCATCTGGGACATTGACTTCTGGCCCTCTTTCTCCTGACCTCCTTTCCTGTCACAAGCTCTGACTATCCTCACAGTGTCAGCATATGAACTTTGGTTTACTGTCCTTATGTTGAGATTTTTTTCACACTGGGAGCTTTTCTCTTGGCTTAGATCCATGAAACCCTTTCACGGGCCTATCCTTTGCATAGAATTGTAGAGAAATATTGCATATGTGGCCCTCTGGCAAAACTGAGAAGAAAAATGTTCCATTTTAGCATGCTGTCATCAGCAAATCTTACAAAAGCATCTCCAGGTTACAGTGCAACCCTGGGAAGTGTATGATAGCACAGACAAGGCAGGTGTGGAAGCTTGTCCCCTGCTGTGGCACACACAAGCATCAGAGTCACATATGGGTGGTATAGGATAGCTACTAAGCTCTCACAGTTATTTACTCAACCTTTCAAACAAGTGGCAGCAAAATTTATTTACTTCAGTTTCACCATTTAAACCTTTCTCTATGTGTTCACAGTGGTAACAACTACATTCATAGTGCTGTGCAGCTGTCGCCTCCATCCATCTGTGCATCTTCCACCACCCGACATTTGAACCACAGATACGTTAAAAAGTCCCAGGCCCTGGTCACCATCATTCTGTTTCTATATCTCAGAATTTCACTCCTATATTAATGTGCTATGTTTTAAAATACCAGCTTTGAGGTGTGAATTATATATAGTTACCTTGGTTCACAAACAAATTCTCTGCACGGCTGTGCTCCCAAATCTAACAAGACAAGAATTGCACCAAATTTCCCCATAGCGTCAACATTGAACCTAACCACTGAATTTGATTCTATTCTCATTGCCCTTGGTTTGTGACTAGAATCATGGAAAGAATCAAGTTCGTGAACTAAGGTACCATTATATAGTAAAATTCATCCATCTAAAGTGAACATGGGCTCCTTTAAATAAAAACACGGGTCAAAAGATTAACCCTGGACATGTGTCATTTACCCTTACTGAGCTTTGCGTCCTGCCTCTTTCTGAACTGGGCCTGACTCTCAAGATGATTATTGGAGGCTCCAGATCATCACAGTGTTCAGGAAGAAGCACTTACAGGTTTCTCCAGTGTACTGACCAAGCCAGTCCTACATGAGAAGGTGGAGACATAAATCTCTGGAATACAACTTGAATGTGATAGCTAAGAGTTGAAATACACAAAAAAGAAAAGCTGGAGTGAAAAGAAAGAGCACAGCCCAACCTCACTGTTGTTCTCTGCAAAGATCTAGTCTGTGTCATTTTGGGAAATACATAACACCTTTCAGGGAAAGAAACCAGAGGGGCACAAAGCATTGACAAGGGCATATGGGCCACTTTGCTGGGGTCTGCCTGTAGTCTGAGGTAAAAGGAAACTGCTTCCTTGTTCATGAGCTCTGTTCTCAGTACAGGTCTAAAGAGAGAGCCACTCTGTGAAATGCCCAAAATCATTATAAGGAGAAGCTGGGGCAGGGTGGAGATGTAACATGGTGCTGACCTTCATCCCATTATTCTCAGTGCTAGTCCAGAGGAATGGTTCTCCAACCAAGACAAGTACCAGAGCCAGAAATAAGAAGAGAGAGCCTTCCAATTCATGGTCCTCTACAACCTACAAACCAGTCTGAAACTCAGAGGGTGGTGGCACTTCCAGTAAGATGGTGAGTGCTGAAGGCAGAGAGACAATCCATATGGTCCACACTAGGCCTTTCATCTCCCCAGCACCAGGCCTGCTGAAACTACTTGGCGGGCAGTCTCAGGGACTGAACTGAGGTTAGAGGCAGTGAGAAATGGACTAGACAATCTCAGCTCTGGCACTGGTTAAGGGGGAAGCAAGTTCAAGAAGGAAACTCAGAGGTCTGGGGCACCTGGGATTCATGGGCACTGGGAGTAGATAAGAACATCCTGAATTATAATCTCCTCCCTGACCCCAGAAGCCACAGAAATCATCAGAGCCTGGGTGAACCAGTGACATAGGAACCAGGAGTTCCAGAGATGGAGAGAAAATAGGGTGAATCTTCCTTCAAGGTCATAGCTGACTGGGTGCCCTGGGCTATGATTCATGAGGAGTAGAGTAAATTCCCATCTATTAACCCTGAGAACACAAGATGCTCCTGAAATTGGCGAACAAAGCAGTGGCAGGGAAAAACTGCATAGGGACTTTCATCCCAATCAACAACCCAGGACAATTTCTTTTTTCTCTCCTGTTTTTCTCCGGTTTTTCCTGACTACCTCTTTATTCATACTTTGTTTGAGATGACAAAGGCTGGTCCTTATATATCTGTATACATGTTAAATAGGATGATTCACCTCCAGGCTGTACTAGAAATCCTAATAAAACTGCATGAGCACTTAACCTCTTAACAAAAACTCAGTCTAACATCCAAAATACAATCTACCAGAACAGACTAACTTTAGACTATTTGCTGGCTGAAGAAGGAGGGGTCTGTGGGAAGTTCGATCTGACTAACTACTGTTTAGAAGTTGATGACCAGGGACAAGTGGTAGAGGAAATCAAAGAAGGATGCAGGCAATAGCTCATGTACCTGTCCAAACATGGAACGTTGGGACCCAGGGTAGACTAAGAACCTATGATTCTTAGGTCTTGGGGGATTCAGGACCTTGAGAAGGAGTCTTAGTTATATTAGGAATATGCATAATTACCCCTTGCCTATTGCCTTTGGTAAAATAGGCCCTCAATACCATGACAGAGACCACCACAGATCAGAGAACAATCTCTCAGGTCCTGTGGGCCAAGGGGTACTAATCAATAGAAGTCTGCGTGGAAATAAGCACAGGTAGCAAAAACCAGTGTGAGGCTCTCCAAGCAGAGTCTCAAAGTAGGGAACGAGAGAAGAAAACACCTCGCACTGGAGTGCCCAGCCAAAATTTTGTTGCTTCCTGCAACAGTTCTGCTTAAGTAACCTCACTTATTGCAACCCAATGGTACAAAAATGAAAGTAAAGCTGTACTCAGGCTTTTGCAGCGATATGAGAGTACTTTGCGGAGCCGCAGGCAATAAAGCCCCCATAATACTACTACTTCCAAAGCCCCCATAGTAACTACTTCCAAAATCTTCAAACTGAACAAATGAGGCTTTGGGGGATGCCTAGATATAAACCATAGCATTCCATCCCAGGACCCCAATGAGAGTCATGTGAATCTCCTTATGGAATACACATTTAACAAAGATAAATTTTCTGGCAGAAGGTAACACATGTCACCTAGAGTTGTAATGCCAGTGGAGTACCTTCTCCGAACTGAAACTTCCTGAGCCTGGTTTTTTACCACCAACCTTTTTTTTTCTGCATTCTGGTTTTCTGAGCTCTGACCAGTATCACACATCAAAGTCAGCTTATCAGTTTCTAAAGCTTCTCAAGCAAAAGTCTTCATTTCCAAATTCCTCTTATGAACCACTTTTAAAGACTTCTGAACCACATGGTCATGTAACATCAGAGAAACACCCCGTATCTCCAATAATAGAATCTACCCTCTTCACTTTTCTTGTCACTGAAATATGATAACTGACAACAACCGATCAAAGAAATACACATTTTGGCTCAGAGCTTGTAAAGGTTTCAGTCTTTATGTGTATGGCAGGATGGTGGAAGGGCCTGATGCAAAAAATCTACTCATTGTATGACAGTAGATAGATGAGGGAGATCAAGGGAGGGTCTTGAAGGAGCACATCCCTTTCAAGTCATGCACATAGTGATGACCTCTTCTGTCCAGATCTCCTACCAGCAAATCAGCTATAATCCCCATAATCCAGTCAGCCTCTCAAAATACCCAAATTTGAGCCTATGTGGTTTTGAGGAGACATCTAGTTATAAACCAGAACAGGTAAGTGGAAACAGACTATTTTCAAATATGCACCAATTTTCCAAACATGAACATCAGCATTATACACCACAATTATATGCTAAGGCAAAAGAAATCAATAGCAAGAAGACTCTAAGAAGGCTTAGAATCTCAC